AATTATGATTCACATTGGCAAACAATAAAATGTCTAGATATTACAGTTCTGTTATATATTCACTATAAGTATCAGCAGATCGTCTGCTTTTTATTTAGTTTCAAAATGCGTACAAGTATGATAATAAACTAATTAGGATTATAAGACCAAATATAAAGACGCACATTGACTAGTATCTACATACTGGTGAGGGGACATTAACCATGTGAATGTAGCAAGAAATTTATCGCGCAGTATTGTCACTTCGACCCCCACCTCGCTTCCGTGGAAGAAATCGTTATGTTATAAGTTGTGTCATGCAAAATCCGTTTGGTTATGATTCCAATACATATTTAACTACGAGTAGAAAGTAGTCTTGATTTTCTAACTTGATGAAAACAAACTATAATCTCATTAATTCTAACAGATTTTTTAATTTTTAAAAATGGCGGCGCCCTGTCGGGAACATCCGCCAGTCTGAGGATAAATGGTATTTAGGTTTGTTTTCACCGAGTTACAAAATCAAAACTACTTTCTACTGGTAGTAAAATATGTATTTTATTGATGGCCAATAGGATTTTGCATGACAAAGCGTATAACATAACAATTTCTCTCGTGGCAGCGAGGTAGGTGTCAATATAATAATACTTACAATATTATTGTTACTTCGACCACAACCTCACTTCCGAGGAAGAAATCGTTATGTTACAAGTTGTGTCATAGAAAATCTTTATGGTCATCAATCATATGCATATTTTACTACAACTACTAAGTAGTTTTGATTCTTTAACTTCTGTGAAGCGATCTGAACACAAGTAAGATATTGTTTCAGGCTTCCACAACGCTCGCTTCGCACTCACAAACATAACCCATTTAGCACGAACTGCGGGGTCCTGTGGAAATCTGTGCATGGGGACACCATCGCCCGACCCCTAGGAGCAATTGACGACAAAGCAACGATTCGTCATGTCGTCGTTGATGTCGAGAAATCATCAAAATGATGAGCGTGCTACACATTTTCTATACAACTAACTGAAAATCGTTCCTCATATGACGTCACTGCAGTGCTCTGGCGACAGAGTTACGTAACCTGTCTGTTGTTTCGTTGGCGGGCGAGGGGGAAGCAGGCGACTTTTTGGCCACTTTTAATCGCTCGGTATTAACTAACCACAAGTTTTTAAAGAATAAATTTGGTGTTCCGCATAAGACTAACCACAAACCTTTCATATGTAATGGTTAAAAGAGTAACAAAATACAAAGTTTAGTGGTTCTTTAAGCCTTCTCAAAGCCCTGTGAGGCGCGTCCAACCGCGTAGATCGTAGATGCTCATGATGTCGATCACTGGATTTCCTGGGCCGAATTGATTCAAATTATTACAGATCGCTTTAACATCTAGGCTACTCCCGAGCATCCCTGTATAGGTACAAGAAGTACTAAATACGTATATCTCCAGCGCATAAGGTTAAGGTTGCAGATGTTTGAAAGATGGCGCTCACAGCATTTTCGCCCCACAATCAACTGTCAATACTGTAAGTTTGATTGATTTCTACTTTTGATTTCTTTTTCTGATTAAAAGTTAGAATTGTGAAATTCTTTGTCTTAATCGTGCATTTCATTTCAGACTAGACAGAATGAATTTTCTCTCACCTGTCCTCCGGTGGTTTCAACAAAGTTTCATGTTTATGCAACGCCAACTTTGGCTCAAATGTAAGTCATTTTTTAATATTTTTTTACACTCTTTATTTCCTCCTTCCCAATTACATACGGGATAGCTCACATCCAGGGTAATGTGAGTTCCACGGTATGGTGTACTAGTAGTGATATGTTTCCATGGGAGTTAAAAGAATGTACAAAGGAAGAAGGTTTTTTTTTATTAAGGCAAACACTCACACGTAACCCGCCAGAAATCTGCTAGCCTCGTATCGCATGTCAAATATTTATTCTTTGTTCTTGCTTATTGCTGCTCCAGTGATGCAAAACCTACATGATACAACATCCAAGCTTGGTAGAACTTATTTTGATCACTGTTTCTGAAAACTATGTCTTTTTCTACTTTGTACCTAAAGTTCATTGAGCATGCCATTTTAATTATTCTGTTATTTGTAGCAAAACAACTTATACCCAGAAGTTATTCACAGCATCGAGAAACCAATCAGTACCCCTTTACAGAGAGTTTGTTATTATTGCTTATAATCGGATCAGCAATTTTGTAATCATGAGAAATGTCTCTAGTTAGTCTATACATTAACAAACACTGTAAAGGTGATGCTGGAAATCTCACGTAGACATCACTAACAAGGGTACGAACAATTACAAAACAATACGTCATCAACAATTATCGTCTATGATATAGTGAAAAGGCACTGTGATGCAGACATGCAAACGCAGCTGTTCCTCATGGGTGTTCCCTTAGAGTTCTCAAAACAATTATTTGACGTACTATTTACATCGCAACAATATCCGTGCAGATAGGTCCCTATAGCAACACGATCCTACCTATCAATGGACCCGTGAAGGTCCGGGTTTGAAAATTGATCTTCAGTAACCCATGCTTGTCGTAAGAGGCGACTAACGGGATCGGGTGGTCAGGCTCGCTGACTTGGTTGACACATGTCATCGTATCCCAACTGCGTAGATCGATGAGCGTGCTGTTGATCGCTGGATTGTCTGGTCCAGGCTCCAATATTTACAGATCGCCGCCATGTAGCTAGAATATTGCTGAGTGCGGCGTAAAACTAAACTCACTCACTCTGTTGCAAGAAGATCTCGAGCTCACACCTTTTTTTTTCCAAATAGTTTCCTCAAATAGGAGCGATGAACAGAATCAGACGCCTTTGAAAAGTCTGTATTGGCTACGTATAACTTACGTCCAGGGTCCCGATCCACAAAGCGTTCCTAACGTTACGACATGTTGTAACTCTACAGTTTACTATAGGCTAACGAATGTCGTAGCGCTACGAAGGCTTTTGTGGGTCGGAACCCTGGGCTTAGATTTTCGAATCTCTCTTAGCGCTAAGATAGTCGTAAGTGCCATATATTAACAATAACTTACGACTATCTTTGCGGTAAGAGAGCTTCGAAAATCTAGGCACAGGTCTACAACACAGTTTAGGTTTCTGATGATTCTATTGGATAAGGTCAGTTTGTTATTCTTGTTTCCAGGATTGAGGTACATATCGTCAACACTGCCAACCGCAGACCCTGGCCCGTCATGACAGTCAGGATCATCTTCACCAGTGATGAGGACATCAACACCCTCTTGCTGAATACCAACATGGCCAGCGATGTCATCGTCGACTCCTTCCCCGTTCCACGTGGGTCAAGAGTTTCACATGGTCATTACGTACCTGATCAAAAGCTTCCATGTGAGTAACCTCTGAACCTCATATGCGTAACAAGGAACAACAACATTGTGATGCTGCTTCTGCTTTTTTCATTCGATTCCACATTAGACCCTGAAGATCTTGGTTAGAACTGATCTTCAGCAACCCATGCTTGTCAAACGAGTCGAGGATAGGGATCATGCAGTCAGGCTTGGTGAAGATCTGGATTAGAATTGATCTTAAGCCACCCACGCTTGTACCAAGTCCTTTTTCAGCGTTAAAAACCAAACACATTGATTTTACATTAAAAACTTTAAACTGTTTCAGGTTGGATTTAGAGTGGACAATTAGACATTGATCAAACTCACACGTACACGATGTGTAGTCCACTTGATTACAATTACATGTAATTACAATTACATATCAATATATTGTTTCTGGTTCAGCTGAATAATTTATCTCACTGTATGATCCGCAGGTGAGTGTTGACGGTAAAGACTTGAAAGACGTGCAGGTCGGTGTACAGGGATATTTTGTCCCCGCTGTGTCCATAAAAGGACCAGTGGCTGTACGGACTATCGAGTTCCAGATGCCCGGTATGTGTTAGTGGGGGAGTCATGTATGTTAGTGAGGGAGTATGTATGTTAGTGAGGGAGTATGTATGTGTTAGTGAGTCAAGTAGGTGTCAGTGAGTCATGTATGTGTTAGTGAGTCATGCACGTGTTAGTGAGTCGAGTATGTGTTAGTGAGTAATGTATATTAGTGAGTCATATATATGTGTTAGTGAGTCATGTACGTGTTAGTGAGTCGGTATGTGTTAGTGAGTCATGTAGGTGTTAGTGAGTCGAGTATGTGTTAGTGAGTCATGTATGTGTTAGTGAGTCATGTACGTGTTAGTGAGTCATGTATGTGTTAGTGAGTCGAGTATGTGTTAGTGAGTCATGTATGTGTTAGTGAGTCATGCATGTGTTAGTGAGTCATGTATGTGTTAGTGAGTCATGCATGTGTTAGTGAGTCGAGTATGTGTTAGTGAGTCGAGTATGTGTTAGTGAGTAATGTACGTGTTAGTGAGTCATGTATGTGTAAGTGAGTCATGTAGGTGTTAGTGAGTCGAGTATGTGTTAGTGAGTAATGTATGTGTTAGTGAGTCATGTACGTGTTAGTGAGTCATGTATGTGTTTGTGAGTCGTGTATGTGTTTGTGAGTCATGTAAGTGTTAACAATTCACACAATTCGATACTTATATGAACCGCATAAGATAAAGACTCGTTACGATACGGTTTGGAATTGGTCTTCAGCAACCCATGCTTGTCGTAAGAGGCGACTAACGGAATTGGGTGGCCAGACTCACTGACTTGGTTGACAATTGTCATCGTATCCCATTACGTAATTCGATGCTGTTGATCACTGTATTGTCTGGTCCAGACTCGATTATTTACAGACCGCCGCCATATAGCTGTTACATTGCTGATTGCGGCGTAAAACAACAACCATCCCAAACCAGCCTTAACATATATACACATGGACACAAGTATCGCAAAACATGTGATTTATAACCCCCATGTAGTGATCTATAATCTTATTATGATTATGTTTGTTTGTTCGAATATTTTTGCCATTCGGGTGCACCATACATTGATATTAGAAGTGGGCGTGTTAATCATCTTTAACACGAGTTTTGTACTGGATGTGTTTCAGATAATGCCCTCGCCTATAACGACCAACCTTTGAAACCGGACACAGATAACACATGGGTGACCTTACCCTTGAGTGGTTCTGAGCGGACGAAATTATTCCTGGTAAAGTCATGCACAGAGGTCACTGTCGACATCAAAGGGGATACAGACACGGGGTCAAATGTCCAGTTTACCCTCGGGGCAAGGAAGAATACAATGACAGACTGTACGATATGTGAAACGAAACTGACGAAGTGGCACAGTCCCCTGTCTTGTGACGACTATAGGCCTTTCTGGTTGAATTGGGGCACTGGTGGCGAGATGCGCGTTGGAGCCGGCTACGTCATCGGTCGCGACTTCATAACGAGTTCGGCGTGGCCGTCGACCGTTAACGTAAAGAGGATACGGATCAGCGCCAACGCCAACGTAAAAGACGGTAATTATAAAAAGTGGGGCTTCTTGGTCTGTTCATATTTCGTATGAATGTGGGTTTGTTAGCTTGTTGCTGAAAGCCGCACTCAGCAGTATGCCAGCTATATGGCGGCGGTCTGTAAATAATCGAGTCTGGACCATAAAATGATCAACATCATGAGCATCGATCTACACAATTAGGAAACGTTGACATGTGTCAACCAAGTCAGCGAATCTGACAACGCGATCCCCTTAGTCGCCTCTTACGACAAGCACGGGTTACTGAAGACCAATTCTAAACCGGACCTTCACGGGTCTCGTAGAAAGAGCATTCAAATTTACTTCCGTATTTCTCCTGAAAATCCGTTCAAAGATGGCAACTCATGCTTGCCGTAAGAGGGAACAAGCCAGGTCATCGTATCCCAGTTGCGTACATCGATACTCACAGTATCAGTCGCTGGCCACTGTCATTTAGCCGAATTAATTTTGCTGAGTACGGCCTTAACGAACTAACAATTAACAAAATTTGCAAGTACTTAGCAGATGCTTAAATAGTATATGCTATCAAAACCATCATCCTGAAATGACATATTAATGTTTCGTGGTTCTCATTGTGACCTCATTGAGGATCACGTGCCACTAGTCTCAATCCTTCGGAACTGCTCCAAATTCCGTGTGAGAGTTCTGTTGCCGCTTTAACAATATTCCATCAAAGGAACAACTGATTATACAAAGAACTGTCTTTGCGGAGAGTCAAACCCGACCCAATGTGTCAACAACTAATACCTAACCTACTGTCCCATCTTAACGAGAATCAAGATCTGCAGGGTCTCGATCCACAAACATTCGTAGGGTACAGCCAATCGTAACTACATTGGAAAGCATAAACTTACGAATGACGTACGTTTTATGGAAAGGTTAGAGTGAGTGAGTGAGTTTGGTTTTATGCCGGTTTTAGAAATATACCAGCATTGTCACGGTGGGGGACACCAGGAATGGACTTCACACATAGTACATAACACTGATGTGTTAGTGAGTCAAGTATGTGTTAGTGAGTCATGTATGTGTTTAGGGGGAGTCGAACCCAGGTCTTCGGTGTGACGAGCGAACGCTTTAACCACCAGGCTACCCCATCGACTTTCAACTAGTGAGACACGATGGACACTGATGTGTTAGTGAGTCAAGTATGTGTTAGTGAGTCATGTATGTGATTAGGGGGAGTCGAACCCAGGTCTTCGGCATGACGAGCGAACGCTTTAACCACCAGGCTACCCCATCGACTTTTAACTATTGAGACACTGTGGACACTGATGATGACTGTTATCAACTTGCAGTTGGGAATCTCGCCCGGTGCACCAGACCAGACCCGCCGCCATACAACATGGCTATAGACGAGTACAGCACTGGGGGCGATACAACAACTAAGTACAGATGTACTGACGAGAAGTATGTGTTCTGCGGCGAGGACAGTGTGTCTCGGTGTGACGCTGCCGGCCAAGTTAAAAACCAAGTAAAAGGCGAATGTCGACAAATGACATGGATGCCACAGGTACGTCATGATCGGCGTCCGTCAACTTGTTTGAATAGTCAGTGAGTTAATGTTCGTTAAACTTCATTTTTCCTGGTGTTTCACATAGTGAGTGAGTTTAGTTGTTAGCCGCTGTTAACAATATTCCAGCAATATCAAGGCGGGCACCAGAGAGGGGCTTCACACATTGTACCCATGTAGGGAATCGAACCCGGGTCTTCGGCAAGAAGAGCCAACGCTATAGCCACTAGGCTACCTCACCGCCCTGTTTCACAGTGACTTATTGAAGGTACAAAATATGGAACCATCGCAACCAGAATTTTTTGTCATTTAACTTACACTTGTCACATTAAGTACATTAGGAAACTGAATGTAAATATATGTTTTTATAAACTTGTATGTAATAATTAGGTTTGTGTTGTCTGAAATGCATTCGTAATCTTGCAAATTATGAATTTTCAGTCGCCGTTGAATGGGTTCTCCTGGCCTTGCCAGAGACGAGTTGGGTCCACGGTCTCCTTGTATCTGACAATGAAGACGTACGTACCTCCTGTACCACAAACGTAACACGTACGTCCACATGTTTTTCACAAGGACGGATACGTAGATCCTGCATCTCACTCGAAAGACTAAATACGCCATGTTGGCATATGACCAGATGGTGGCCACATGAATACGTGCAAACACCTGGATGCGGGTACAGCAACGTGCAGTGAACTTGGACAAAGTAATGTGACTATGTGTCCCAGTACACCCAGCTATGAATGGGTACCTCGTTAGGATGAGAAAGCCACAACTCGGTGCGCCTAGTGGCTGCAAGAGTTGTATACTCCCCAGGGAGTTGCGATTGATAATACGATGTGCTGTTGAGATTGACATCCAATGATCGAGGGAAAAATACCAGCGCCTTGAGCATGCACTAGTTGCCGGGATATGTGCGCTATATAAATATCATATGATATTAATAATAATGTATGTGAAACCCTACATACACCCTGCTTCTGAACATTACATACGCCCTTTGTCTCAACACTACATTCGCCCTTTATCTCACCACCATATACTCCTTGTCTCTCAACACTACATTCACCCTTTATGTCACCACCATATACAACCTGTCTCTCAACACTACATTCGCCCTTTATGTCACCACCATATACAACCTGTCTCTCAACACTACATTCGCCCTTTATCTCACCACCATATACTCCTTGTCTCTCAACACTACATTCGCCCTTTATGTCACCACCATATACAACCTGTCTCTCAACACTACATTCGCCCTTTATGTCACCACCATATACAACCTGTCTCTCAACACTACATTCGCCCTTTATCTCAACAATACATCCACCCTGTCTCTTAACACTACATGCATCCATTATCTCAACACTACATACACCCTGTCTCTCATCACTACATAAGGCCTTTTTCTTAACACGATATACACCCTTTCTCTCAAAACTACATACGCCCTGTCTCTCAACACTACATACGCCTTGTCTCTCAACACTACGTAGGCCCTGTCTCTGAAAATTACATACGACCTGTTTTCTAAACACTACATACACCCTTTATCTCAATTCTACATATGCCCTGTCTCTCAACATACGACATGTATCTCAACACTACATTCGCCCTGTATCTCACAATAACAACATACGTACGCACTCTGTGTCTACCTTTGAATTCGACGTAGACATTGTAGATTACTCGGAACACTGCATACACCCTGTTTCCTACACTGACCACGTACGTACATCATGTACCTTAAGGATTAATATTGTAAATCATCAAGAATGTTTTCCACATATTCTCTCAAGAAATACAAATATCCTACAAATGAAGACAGATGCATGTTATAATCACTATGTTACTTTCAGACACATCTACCTCAGCATGATGAATGATCAAGTCAATCACTTGACGTTAAATGTGGACCCCGCCCTTCCACGGCTGACCATGGGTAGCACAGCGCTGGGAGGGGTAGGATCTGTCCCAGTTAACCCCTTCCCTCTCCCGGTCAATAAGAGGTTCCACCTGACTATCACCATCCTGGAACAACATTTTGAGGTAACAGTATCTCACAACACAGTTTTTGAACCAACAAGTATTTTGAACGCTTTATCCACAAAGCTAACTCTCCAAATTGATGTTCCATCAACCAGACCATGGATGCGGTCCATCTATACGTAAATTATGTAAACACGGTGATAAGATTCATTTTGTTGCCTCTGAAATACTGGCAGTGACAAGACAATTTGGGGCAGTGAGGTAATCCAGTGCTAAAATCGTTCGCGTGTCATCCAGAAGGTCCGTTTTCGATTTTTCAACGTGGGAAGCCAATTTTTGTGTCTTTGAGCTGGACTATTGCGATAAGCATAGCAAAGCCATGCTCACGAACTTACATGGTATTGGTTCAACGAGTGATGTTCCAGCTTTAACTGAAAAATGCAATAAGTATATATTTCGTTTAATCGTTAAATTTCCTCATCCGCATCTAGGTCCGGGTAGACGGGACGTCCGTGGCTACGTTTCCTCATTTCGCCAACTACACTTCCATCAGCGAATTGATAGTCGAGGCTCCCAATGTCGACGTCGTTCATATTTTCACACCAGGTAAGTATTTCTGAATGTGAGTGAGTGAGTTTAGTTTTACGCCGCACTCAGAAACATTCCAGCTATATGGCGGCGGTCTGTAAATAATCGAGTCTGGACCAGACAATCCAGTGATCAACAGCATGAGCAATATGGAACCGATGACATGTGTCAACCAAGTCAGCGAGCCTGACCGCCCGATCCCGTTAGTTGCCTCTTACGACAAGCATGGGTTACTGAAGATCAATATTGTAACCCGGATCTTCACGGGTCCATTGGCGACTGAAATTGTGGGTGGTATACCTATTGAAGGCACGCACCGAAGTGCCAAGATTGTCAGCAGCAGGGCCACAATGAAAACATTTTTCAAACTATTTATGTCGGGTTTTGGGAAAGTAGGAGGGAAGTTTTGAGCTATCCGCTCATTTATCACATTCAGCTCGTACATGTTTTTGTTGCAATTCCAAAAGGACGTTACACAGACTGCGCAAACGCCACAGTACCCAATGCCAAGGTCATCTCCGACGAGACGTCAATGGGAGCTGAAGGCAACGTGCAATGTAACGTCGAATACCGTCACTGTGGGTCTAACACCAAGGTCACGTGCTGGAGTGATGGCACATGGAAGTTCTACAGACCTGAGAAATGCGAACGCTACCAATGGACCAGCCTTGCCCCTCTCGGCAAGGTAAGGGCACAATAGTATTGCACGAGTAGTCTTTGGGTGGCCCGTTTCCTAATTTTAGTGTGATGTCAATCAAATCACCACGGGGTACAGCAGTATATGAGTGAGTGAGTGAGTTTAGTTGTATGCCGCTTTTCGCAATATTCCAGCAATATCACGGCCGAGGACACCAGGAATAAGGCTTCACAGATTGTACCCATGCGGGGAATCAAATCCGGGTCTTCAGCGTGACGAGCGAACGCTTTAACCACTAGGCTACCCCACCGCCCATCATTAGTACAGGAGCCTTACACGTATAGTAAATATTCCTGGAGTCGCACACAGGACATCAACTATTCATTGTGTACGCTCTCACAGTAATATTCAGCTATCTGTTTGTTGTTTAACAGCAATATTTCAGGTATATGACGACGTTCTGTAAATAACTTAGCCCGAACAGGTCAATCCAGTGATTGACTTCATGAGCAACGATAGACGCAAATGAGATAAGATGTCATACAAAAACAAATCATCGTCATATTGTTGGAATATTGATGAGCGCATATTAATTAAATACGACAAACACACAAATAAACACGAATGGGATCGGGTTGTCAGGCTCGCTGACTGGGCTGACACATGTCATCGTATCCCAATTGCGTAGATTGATGTTCATGCTGTTGATCCCTGGATTGTCTGGTCCAGATCCGATTATTTACAGACCGCCGCCATATAGCTGGAATTTTGCTGAGTGCTGCGTAAAACTAATCTCACTCACTCACTCACTCACTCATTACCCTGACACTCGTAGGTTTCCACGTGCGTCATACTGAGGCCAAATTCAGTTAGCCAGCCCTAAATCTATCCTTGTCAATATTTGCATACAAACTGTTTTAAGTGTTAAAATTGGACACTGCTATCATTCCCTCTGTTGATCAGGAGACACTCTTCCCAATCCCCTGTGTCCTGAATACCGGGGATGTCGTTGTACTGCAGGCCACGTTGTCGCGGGCAACGGACGTGTAAGTAGTGACCATCTGATTTTGACCATTACCTTCTGTCTGTCTGGTTTTGGAGACAAAACCTCTTTTTCAAACAAAAACAAGTAAAAACTGCATTTCTATATAATAATGCATTTATGTGTTTGATATTAATTAGGTGCTTTATATAAGGCGCATATGCTTCTTTTTCTACATCCAAAATGGATGCGCTGTAATGGCTACATGTATATAATTACATGGTGTTTGCTTTCCATCATGTTTCCAAATGAACGTGGTGGTTGAAGCAAATGAACTCACTCATTCTAACTACACGTATTCATTGTCCAGGTTCAAAATGGCACTGGTAGCTGGTCCAGAGGCAGTGGTTCTCATCACCTATGACCAATTGCGGAACTCAATGATCATTAGCAACGTCCTGGGCGGCACAGCACTGAAGACACAGGATGTCGCGAATCACGGGATTACTCCCGTGGCATTCAGATTGAGTATAAAAGTGTTGAAAGACTCCTACATGGTAAGTTGTGTTGCAATTATATGTGCTGCAAGTTATACCACGTTACATTAGACGGTACAGGTCTCGCTGAGATTGTTCCAGACTGGGTAATATTTTTATGAATATTTGACATGAAGTTGGATTGAACTTCGTGTTCAACACAAAAACACAATACAGCTGGGTCTCATAAGGGCGAACTGCAAACGGTTTAACAAGAGCTGCATCGTTACCTTCTTCGGTATGATATAATCGAACAGGTGAACATTCAGGTGAGAACTGGTCTTCAGCAACCCATGCTTGTCGTAACAGGCGACTAGCGGGATCGGGTGGTCAGGCTCGCTGACTTGGTTGGTGCGGAGCACGTAATGCTTGTGCCTGCAGAGCGTGTTGTGAGCGGTGATTAAGCAGATGGGTGATCTTGCATCCCCTTTAAGTTGCTGGCTACAGATCTTGGGCTCCTTTGGTCGGTGCAGGTCACTTATAACCCCGGAGGTACTTCCACGAAGCAACCTTTCTAAAGTACTGTCGGAAATAGAAAAAAACTGTTTTTTCACATTTATATCTACAATTTAGGTAGTTAATGTGTGAAAGTGTGAAATATCTGTTGAACTAAGTTCGGCCTAACTACAGTCTCAGTGGTAGGGAGATAGGAAACGTTAGAAAAGGATTTTTCTGAGGAGAGATTAGTGCAGAAATGAGTAATGTTTTTATTTTCTAAGTCCGAAGAGACTTATTTGGAGAAGACCATGGCTTTATGCAAATTAGTGTGCGATGATATTGTATAACAAATGACACTTTTTGAATATCCATTTTGAAATTAGACTTAGCTTCATAATAAACGATAGCAGACGTAAAAAATAACAACTTGAATACTGAAACGATTAAGGATATAGATACCATTGATTCTCACTATCACTATTAAAAGAAACGGGTAGGATGGGTCGTCTCAAAAGCAAAACCGAGACGGGTGTTGCTAACAGAAGTTGGGGCTTGGGGATAGAGATATTAGGTAAGATTAGATAATCAATAGAGACATATTCAATACACATGAAAAAGCAGAAAAATATTTGAAATGACCCCTTGTGTCTGTGGGCAGCACGTGCATTCCATGCCAAGTGAGTTGACGGTCCGTCGTCATACCTTGCTGTCGACTGATCTATTGTTTTCAGCAGCTGTTCGCATTTTTTTCTAAGTTTTGCCCGATTTTACGAGTAAACATGCTTTTCTGGATACCCTATTACGCATCCCACTGAACGCCAAGTTAGGCCGAAGTGGGTTATTTCGACATATGCTATTTGCAGTTGTGCAAATTTTAGGAATACAGAGTAACAGCCTAAAAACAGTTTTTTTCTATTTCCAACAGTACTTTAACGTTAACTTCCATTCTTTGACATTGGACTAAGGTCACCTTAGGGCCTCCTGTCACAAAGCACTAAGGTGATCGTAAGTCACTAAGGTAACCTTAATGCAGTCTTAAAGAATGGGGGTTAGGTTAACCTGAGTAAAGGTTGCTTCGTGAAAGACGCCCCAAGGCCTCTTTTTACAAAGCGCTATTAGTAAGGTGATCGTAAGTCACTAAGGCGACCTTAGTGCAATGTTAAAGAGTGGGAGTTAACCTTAGTAAAGGTTGCTTCGTTGAAGTAGCTCCAGGGTTATAGTTGGCCTGCACCGACCAATACTTGTCGTGGGAATCGGGTGGTCAGGCTAGCTGACGTGGCTCAAACATGTCATCGTATCCCAATTGTGTAGGTGGATGTTCCTGATGTCGAACACTAGTTCCTCTGGTCCAGACTGGATTATTTACAGAATGCCGTCGTATAGCTTGAATAATGCCGAGTAGGACGTTCTGCAACAAAGAGACCCTATGCGTGACGTATCTTTTGCTGTCTCTACAGATATATGTCGGCGGAAAGATGGTGTCGGACTTCCCGTCAACGTCCCCGTCCCTGCGAGTAACACACATCTCTGTGTCGTCGGGAACAGCGATCAGGTCCCTCGAAGTGACCACAACACCAACGTAATGGTCAGTGAGTGCGTTTAGTTTTTACGCCGTTTTTAGCAATATTCCAGCATTATCACGGCGGGGACGCCCGAAATGGGCTTCATGCATTTTCAACACGTGGGGAAATCGCACCCTGGTCATCGGTGTGACGAGCGAACGCTGAAACCTATCGCCTACCGCATCGCCCCAAATGATCAGGAAACATGCGAAAACGCGTCGCCACACACCTCAGTGTGTATTTAATGTACATTGGGAAACCTTTTTAATCCGGATCCATTCTGACCGAAACCATCTCCTCCATCTACTAACAATTCGGAACGGTTGAAAGTGCAAATACTATAGTAATTGTAGTCGGCTTATCGTACACTCGTTCACCTGAACTCACTGTAGGTATTGTACAAAAATGTATCATCTTGCATAATCGTGGGGCCATACAGCGCTTTGTGGCATCTAAACAACCGCTGATATCATATGTCTCGTGGGCCGATGATTGACAGTTGTTGTATATTATATGACTATATCAGTAGGTTTTGGCGTGTTGTAAATGAGTTGTCAAATATATAGGAGTAAATAATCAGAGTCCTTATTCTCGAAACGTTCGTAGCCCTAAGAATTCTGAACTTTGATCGTAGCCAATGTGTTAAGAATGGGCTTAAGAAGTTCGTAGGGCTACGAACGTTTCGAGAACAGCTAGCCAGGTCTTTATGAGAGAACAATTTGTGAATGTTATTCTTTGTGTCGAACCGAGAAGCAAGTCAAAACACTGATTACAAAACAGTCTCATTTCCTGCTGACTGGGATACCTCCTATTGCACAATAGTACAATAACCAGTCCAGAATTTTGAGACCATCTCATTCAACTGGATATATAAATATTAATCAGTATTATTTGATACATCTAATCACTTGTATATTGGACCCTACTCTCCTTCTAATCCTTGCAAACACGTCGTACAGCGAGTACAAACGGAAATCTGGAAGTCGTGGAAATCTCAACACGTGGCCCGGCCGCTATATAGGTTTGGAGGTCTGGTACGGACTTGATATTATATCTGTCACACTGTACGTTACAAAAATGCGCTGAATAAGCGCAAAGAACACATAACAGGTGTAACCAGTGAGCCAGTGAATCATTGTACGACCTTCTCAAACAGGGTCAGTCTGTGACGTCTTAATTAACGACATCCTGCCTACACCTCGACATAAATGATAGAAATACGACTTTCTAGACTTTGAAATTAAAATTAATTTGTAAATACCATGTTTTTATGAAACAAAGAATTGGAATTAGTGTAAAAATAGTTGTTTGTATTGTCTCTTTTTATTTTCACACGAGAAAATTCGGATCGGCTGAAAAGTAGGTCATTTTCTGAATAGATTAATGAGACTGATGTTCCGGTTTGCGTCTCTTCTTTGCAGTGAATGTTTAAGACTCTTCTGTAGAAGACAGTGTTTTAGTTTTACTTGTGGGTATTATCTATCATATTGTAGTTGTAGATGAACATATTGTCAGTTCTTTGTTCAATTATTGTTTGTTAATTAAATTATCTGTTTCTTCTTTGTGTCGACATGGTCTATCTTCGTTGTTGTCAATGAAGCATGTCAGTTCTTTTAAGTCGATCGTCTTGTTTTCTGTATTCCGTTCTCATCGTATCCCAAATGAGTAGATCGATGCTCATGATGTTGATCACTGGATTGGCTGGTCCTAACGTGATTATTTACAGACCGCCACCACATAGCTGGAATATTGCTGGGTGCGGCATACAACTAAACTCACTCACTCACTGTATTCCTTTCTAGACGAATAGGTTGTCAGGTATTCTTTTGTATTTGGTCAGTTTGTGTTTATAATGTCTGGTTTGTGGGTATTATTGTTTGGTCTTTTTAGGCCAGTTAAAACAAAACTATTCAAGACCCACGATCTGATGTCTGTATTTAATGCTTGGCAAAAACCTACTCTTTGTACGTTTACCCGAACAGCGGTGAATAGACATGAGGTAACAATCGAATGATATGACGTCATAAACAACAGATTACATTCATGAGGACATTCCACTAGGGCGTCGACCACTGAGGAAGCGATAGTATTTAGCGTCTTTATATTATGTTTGGCAACTTCATATTCCAGCTGCGAATCCCATCCATAGTGTTAAACCAGAATGAGACCGGCCAGTAAAACCTGTTCAATTTTATTTTCAAATGTACGTCACAGCCTGCATGCGTAATGAAACGTGATGAAATATGTCTGTGAATGCTTCTATTACATTATGAATAAATATTTCCATAATTACTAGTAGTCATGCTTCTTTCCGTACCTTCCTGAATGTGGACATTAACAGCTGCAAATTGATCACAAGTGGGTAAGTGCTGATTATTATTGTGGACGTAGATGGGTACATGTGCTGAATCGGGTACATGTGCTAAATCCTATGTCGGGTGAATCACACGGGCAGATTTCCATACAGTGTAAAACATGTTCTGTGGTTGTAACGAATATCCACAGATTGATTTGCTACCTCTCACCCGATTCGATCTGGCGATGTTAGTGGTGACCTCATCATATCTCGCGGTATTTTGTTTCCATGGTATCATACATTCGTTACCAACTCGTGTTATTCCGGGACAAGCCGAATAGGTTACGGAAAGGGGCGAGTGGTGATGAATGGGTATCAAAATGTCTGAGGCAGACTTAGCAGCAGTTATCGGCTGCGCGATCCTATGTGAAGAAGACGGCAATGCCAAAGCAACGAAAATGAGCAGTTGTTGGAAGAAAGATGCGACATGCACAGAGCATACAACCATCTCATTAAAGAACTCGAAATTGAAGATGAACAGTCGAGAAAAATCAAGGCGTAGTTTCTTATAAGCAGACGAAGCCATGTTTCGCGCTTGTATGTTAACATTTACCACGTGACACCAAAACGCAGTTTGATTGGTCGCGCCACATCCATCTTGCCGAATTACAAGGACAGGTTCTACACACACGCGACACAATCAACGGGTAGGTTCCGATTGGCTTGTAGAATTTGATTAATCACTCAGACGATATGATTCGGTCGAATTCGGCTTATCGCCGACCCATGCGAGTCCGGCTTATAATCTGTTTGCAGTGAAAACGTACCGATGAATTTCACTTTAAACAAAAAAGTAAATCAAATAAAGTGAAATAAATATTGCGAATCGTCACAATTTTACCTTGCCAATTGAACATTTAAATCTCAGAATTTTATTCATCTTAGGATAAAAGTTGTTTAACAAACGATCATACATTGAAATCGCTATTATTGGTTTGTATTACAAAGGGGTAAGACCAGTAGTTGGAACAGTGAAACAAATGCACGTGTGGTACGTGATGAGCGTTAACTTAGACCAACTCTACTTGTCCTCGGTGTTTCATTTGATGTGCATACCCACTTGTAATACAAACCAATAATAGCGATTTGAAACTATGATAGTTTGTTAAACAACCTTTATCCTAAGTTGAATAAAATTCTGAGATTTTAATGTAACAGACTATAAGTGTGTATGTGTTGATTGTCAACTCGGATATATCCGCGTTACCGTACATATTATTACGGTCGGAACTTATATGTGTTGACTGCTATCACGTAGTAAGTAAGTTTGAGTTTGTTGACTGTTAAGACTGGTATAGGTTTGTGTTTGTTTACTGTTACTGTGTCTGTCAGATGTGTGTAATTTTGTATTGTGATTTTGGTTGCAAATGTGCATGTATATATATGTTTGGTTGTCTTTATGTGTATGTGTGATGGTTTTTGTTTTGATCGTAGACCAATGTGTAGTGACTGTTATTTCGGTGGAAGGTGTGTATATATTGAGTGTCATTACGACAGGGACCTGTGTATGTGACGATATGATGACCCAGCTACCACTATGGTCAGGGGACGTAATACACATCATGTCCAAAGCGCCCGTAAAATCTCCAAATCATTATTATCATGATCACCATACACCACCACTACTGAAGAACAGGTGGTTGGTTTGTTGTTTAACGCTGCACTCAGCAATATTCCAGCTATATGGCGGCGGTCTGTAAATAACCAGACAGTCCAGTGATCAACAGCATGAGCATCGATCTGCGCAATTGGTAAACGATGACATGTGTGAACCAAGTCAGCGCGTCTGACCACCCGATCCCGTTAGTCGACTCTTACTACAAACCTGGGTTGCTGAAGACCAATTCTAACCCGGATCTTCACAGGTCACTGTAGAACAGTGAGTGAGTTAATATTTAACGTCACATCGGCAATATCTCAGCCATAACGTGACGAAAACAATTTATACACTAAAAAAGTGAAAACATTTTGAAGATTAAAACCTGTCGACGATGGACAGTAAATATACTAGGAAATCACAGATATAATATAAAACTAGCGAGCAAAGCTAAAACATTCCAATTAAAGAAGACAATACAGTATAAAACACGGGCTATAGATCGCCGACAACTGAAGGTAGATCACCATACTAGGAACCATCGGGACTTACATTACTTTTGCTACCTGCATGGACCCTAGCTGGATCTATATCATCCCTTCAGACGCTGGCGAATATTTAAAATAACAAAAACACTACATTTAAAACAGCTGGTAAATCTAAATTTCCTTTGAATGTTTCGGGACTTACGTACCCTATCAGGAGGACAATAATTTTACAGTACTTTAACCCCCTTTGAGGGTACAGCCACTAACAATCTAAGATAGTAATCTAAATTACCAATCTTTAAAATATATCTATTTACAAAACACACTAATCAGAACAGACAGGCAATTGGTTGGTGGTGTTACTGACAAACAATTACCCACAATAACATATGGAATTAAGAAACACTTATGACACTTACAAATAGCTCTTTCCTCAATCAGTCAACCGATATCTCGTTACTTTCACGCTTTCATTCACACAACCTTCTTTAATAGCATCAGTATTGCAGTGTGAGTGGATACTGTGCTAGCACTCATCATAATACCTTCCTCAAACAATCCCAAAGGAACGTAAACACTGACGTAATACTATGACGTCACGTTTCTTTTATGAAATTGCGTTCCACATGCGGAGACGACGAGTAACCAGCCTATGAGTGAAAGTAGATTTAGGTTTAATTTCCTCAATTTGACGACTTCGGGAGTAAGTAGAACATTATATTCGTGCCTATATCATACTATGTTTACGACACTCGTGCCTAAATATCGGTATATCCCTCGCTCTCGCTCGGGAAACACCAACATTTAGGCACTCGTGTCGTAAACATAGTATGATATGGGCAGGAATATAATATCCCCTGTATATGCTCCAGTGTTGATTCGTTGTATATTACAGGACTAGTTCAAGCCGTGTTTGCGATGTTAAAACCACATTTGTTCAAGAGACAGCATCAATGTCAAACCAGATAGAAACGCTCTCTGAAAGGGGGCGCAACCCTGCCCTTGGTGCCGTCTACATCTGCCTGGCTATCACCATCATGGTCACCAATGGAATCATCATTGTAGTCAATGTCAAGTTACGGCATCTTCAAATACCAACGCTACATATTCTGACGGGGATCGCTGTGTTTGCTTTTGTGACGGGACTTCATCTGCTCATGTACGACGTGCCGTTATTGTTTTCTGCACAAATGACATGTGTCAACAGGTTTATCGTTGTTGGGACAGTCATGGCAGGTGCTCTACGTAATGTAACATATTCCAGGCAACTCTGGCTGTACTTGATCGGTACGTTACTGTCTGCCATCCTCTCCGCTACAACTTCATCGTCACGGGAAGGAACATTCTGCTCGCCATGTTTGCATATGCTGGACTGTGTTTTGCTGTGTTTTTCTGCGGCCTGACAGTACCTCCGAAACACCTCTGTGATCATTCAACTCCACCCACGTGATCTTTCCACAACCTCCATGTGACCTTTCCTCAGCACCAATGTGACCTCACCACGACACACGTGACCTTTCTACTACACCTATGTGACCTCTCCACGACACCCGTGTGACCATTTCAACAACTCCATGTGACCTTTCCTCAACACCAATGTGTAAAATAGACAAACGTTATGGATAATAATTTCTTTATTGCAAAAGTGCGACGTTTCGATGCAGATTCTTGTACTGTTGTCAAGCAGGAATGTACAACGATACACGAATTTGTATCGAAACGTCGTCCTCTCCTAATAGATTTGTTATCCATAAAATATGTCTATTTTTTACTTCCCTGCTTCTAAAATGCCACTGAGAGAAATGTGTAAAATGCCACACTTTGCTAAACACATCAAACTGTTTTGAAAAGGTCAAAAAGTTACAGTCGAGTTAAGGAAGGGCTGAATATATCGTAGTACATATATGTATATATAGTTTTCACAGAACAAGTAGAAGTGATGGATCCTCAATAATACGTGAACTTTAATAAGGTCAACAAAACGTAGTGCGTGCGAATACGTAGACAAAGGGGTCGTCGGGACACATGTTTGGGAAATCAAATATACACATGAACATTAATTAAGCACCATCCAATTTTGTGATTTGATAATTAAGTGAGTGAGTGAGTTAATATTTAACGACACATCGGCAAAAACTCAGGCATATCGTGACGAGAACATATTTGACATTGAAATGGAATATATGTATATGATAAAAACCTGTCTACGAAGGGCAGTAAAACAACTAGAATATCACAATTACAATTAAAACTAGTGTGGAAAGTTAAAACTAATAGCTTTATTTGGGCAATACAATATAAGAACTGGCTATAAATCGCCAACAAATGAAGGTAGATCACCATATTAGGTACATAGGGACTTACATTACTTTTGCTACCTGCATGGACCCTAGCTGGATTTATATCATCCCTTCAGCTGCTGGCGATTGAAGTCAAATTTAGCCAAAATTAAAATGACAAGAATACTGCATTTAAAACAGCTGGTAAATTTAAATTTCCTTTGAATGTTTCGGGACATACGTACCCTCTCAGGAGGACAATAATTTTACGCTACTTCAACCCCCTTTGAGGGTACGGCCACTAACAATCTCAGTTACTAATCTAAACTACCAATAATAAAATATGTATCTAAACTCTGTCAAAAAAGAAACGCAACCCCTGTATTTTAGAGATTTTGATCTGAAGTTTTAGGACGACACGGCATTTTTTATTATTTAAGACAGAAGTCTGAAATTTGGCAGAATAATAACCCAGATGGGCATGTTTAAAATTGTCATTTCAAAAGTCATCTCACAGACACCAGTTTGTCACCAGGGGGGCGTCTTTCTCAGTATCTCGTATGAGCACCACG